ACAGTCAAAGGGCCCACTTTCAGATTTGTTCACGAGCAAAAAATTGACTTCCCGACTTCAGTAAACCTCAGCCAATTGCATGACTGTAATATCAAGTGACAAATTGTATGAATTTACAACTATAAATCTAACGTGGGTGAACCTTACATTATATCAGGCCATAATGCTTCTAAATGCAGTCCGCTCATACATTCTGTCACCAATCAAACAGTGCTGGGAGCATGTTCATGCTTATAACTGTATATTTAAAGTAGGTCCCATGGTTATAACAACTCCATGGTTGCCACAAAATATAAATTTGTCGCACTGATATTTTATGTTCCAAATGGATGCATATAGTACATTCCATCAGCTTTCCCCATATTAGCATTTCCAAATCTGTTGGACCACCACTCCTACAATTTCTAACTAGAGTTGCTAATGCTAGTCAGAAAATATAGGCATTATATATAGACTACATCAAGCCGGAAAAAAAGCTTCACTTGAATAATGTCTGGAATGAACTGAATCCAGCTAAACTCTTTGTTTTCCTCTTCCCTTCCTTTCACTCCTTATCCAATTATCGCAGTCCTATTTTATGGCCAAGCATAGACCATCTTCATTCCCCATAAAGTAATGCAACAAGGCATCTAGCAATCTCTGTTCGCTCTCATCTATGTCTGACGTTATCAGAAGCATATTGTTCCAAACAAGTGTGTCATTTTAAATGGAGAAAGCTAGAAAGTGGGGTATGGTAAGCTCACTGAAGACAACAAGAATCTTTCCCAGTCACCACGCTTTGCCTCTTCTCCATTGAACAGATCTCCGTCACATTCTGCAAAACTAACATGAGTGAAACTGGGATTTTACTTGCTGAAAAGTCCAAATGGATGGTGGTTGACAATTCAGTTCTCTTTAAGGCCAAGACACATTGCAGGTTATCCATAATAAAGTTTGTATCACTGCATTACGGTGGTAAATAGTCTCAGCTTCCCTTAGGGTTTCAGATTCTGCCATAGATCAAGAAGAAACAAATGTCCAGTTTTGAAGACTTAACAGCCTTAAACCAGTTGCATTAAAAAAAATGCATTCTATAGCTGAGATAGACAACTCTCTCGTCTGACCGTGTTAAACACACAGATTAGAAACAGAGCTTTAAAAAAAAAAAATACTGAGACTGATATTGCAGGCAAGACAAACAGGCTAGTGTATAAATATATTAAGTTTTTGCATTGTTGCTTCAAGAAACAAGGAGTGTGTCTGTGCTCAGACATACATATTTCTTCAAAATCTATTATATATAGGATTCCAGAAAATCTATTCAGGGTTCATTGAGAGAAAAATGTGTTTTCCCCCATTGCCCCCCCCCCAGTTTCTGGATCAGACTGTGATCTCTGAAAAGATTTACATCATAGATGAAAGACCTTTAACTGGTTTCTCCCTCTTTAGTTTCCTGGCTGATCTCATTTTCTCTGTCCCCTATATATACCTTCATCACAACTCTTGGTGACCTTCCAGTCACATCCTAAATCTCAACTGCATGAAAATGTAAAGAACAATGGACATTGGTTCCTCAGAAAGAAAAGCTTTGAACAGAATGTGGTTTGCAAAACAAGTATGTCGTAGGTGGCTTCTAAACCTTTACTGTATTTAACGTTGTCTGACAACATCAATGTCCTGCATGAATTTGCTCTGCAAATTACAGAAATTGCAAAATGGTTAAAAAAACAAAAACAAAACACTTTCCCTTTATAATCTGCTTCTAGGTTTCTCAGAGGCATATGTCTTATCTTTTGGTGGGAGTAACTCTTTAATATTCTTACTGCTGATATAACAGAGAAATATTCACTCATCAATGGCAAAGACAAAGAAACAGAATCCAATTCAGCCCAGTTAAATTTGAACACCAGAACTAAATTTAAGCACTAGAAATTTAATTATTGGATTCCTGAACACAAGAAACAAACTCCAATGCAATTTGAGTCAGAGTTTTTCTCTGATAAAATTCAAATGCCTACAATAAATCAATCTGCAAACAGTAACCAAAAATTCACAGTAAAGCAGTAGAAGAAGAAAGATAGAAATGAACTTTTAGATATCCATAGTTTAACAGATGTTATTCCATCTTCCAAACGCCTTCAAATCAAGCCTCATTCTCAAAATTTGCTCTGCTGTTTCTATTGGTATATAGAATTCATTACCATATAAAATTCTGATAATTTAACAGCTCAAAAGTTCAATGACTTCTTTATATAGTTTTATATAAGTAAATTTATACAGTAAATTTATTCAATTTCTAGAATGCTTACAACATAAGAAATCAAATAAAAATCCGATCAAATCAAGAAAGCAGACTGTCAACATAACAGAAACTCTCAGTAGTAAAATTCAACATAAATTACTCTGATAGATAATAATAAAGCATGAAAATGCATGTCTAAAATTCTACTGTCTGTAAAGCAAACATACACATTTTAAACACTGTATTTAAAACAAAGTGTTTAAAGAAGTTATAAGTATGTATATTTCTCTTATACAGGATTAGAGAGCTCTGAGGTCACTATTAAACTGGATTCTCCCTAAACACAAACTGTTATCACTCAACTTTTACTACTGGTCTAGAATAGGATAGGATAGGATAGGATAGGATAGGATAGATCTTCCTGAATTATTCAAGATCAAAGCAAAAACATAACTAGAATATGAGGAACACAAGTTATATTTCTTCGCATTCCATTCATTCATTCATGATCTCTCTGTGCTTAAAAATCTGAAACATTAAATAGCAAGATTAGAACACTATCAATGCCAGACCATCTATTTGATGTAAATAAGTGAGTTCATTAACAAGAAGAAAGGTAAGATCCGAGTCTCACAATCAACATTTTGTAGGTAGCTGTCATTCCTTAAAGGTCAGCCTGAGTTTTGTTTTCTACTTCAGTGCTGGTGTGTTGTAAAACAAAGCATTCATGTAACTACAGTGTCAGCAACAGTTTTCAATCTTCTCAACTCCGTTGAAAGTATCCCCTTTTTATGGATTTTCCTTCCCTTGTTGACTTTGTCTCTCGTCATGATAACATTTTGGTTGACCAACACTGTATATTATTTCCCCCTTAAAATGTTAAATCTATGTTACGCATGATTTACACATCCTAGACTTGATCATTGATATGAAGAATTTCTCCTGTGATCAAAGATGCCCAACTGGAATACTCTGATGGGACAAATATAACGCTCAGAAATCTTTTGACTTTTTTTATGTTAAAGGTCTATTCTGAGAAAGGCAATAAACTGAGATTTTTACCAACCAGGTGATAAAAATGCATGGATCTATTTACTTTGTTCTAGAAAAATGTATCAATAGCATCTAGACATAAACGTTAGTGTATGCATATGTGTTTGTACACATATATGCCTGGAATAATATAAAGCTGTATAAATCTTTACTTAGATTCTCCAAATAAATAAAACTTGCAGAGAACAATTTCATAGAAAAAGCCAATCATGCTGATAATATTCTACCCACTGCAGTGATAAAATACAGTTGGGGCTATTTTATATGAATATAAACCCAAACCAAACCAAAAATAGATCTAGACTGAACTGAAGCTACATTGGCAACCTTTTCATAGCATCTAAAAGTGAAATTCAAATAAGCCTGGACCACAGCCTTTATAGGTTATCATGGCAGAGCTCCTTGCCCAGGGTGTTAGGGAAAGATTTTTTTTTAATGGAAACAGAAAAAAAGTGGATTGTATGCAGACAAAATGTGAACTGGAGAGATTTATTTATTTAAACTGTTACTTGTCAAGAACTCTGACCTTTAATTTAAAAGGTGTATTTATCTTGTAACATCTTTTGAGGAATCAACTGATTTCATTTGGTGGAAACAAAAAATATAAGCACTATAAACAAGCTGTTGATGACAGGCAACAGCTGCTATTTATTTCCTACCTGAAAAAGCCCCTCCCGGAGTTTCAACCAAGTATTTGTCTGATATGATATGATGCAACATATACTTTGAGCTTGTCAAAGGAAGGAGAGAGGATGACAATATTTATTGCAAAAGGAAGATGAGAATCAGCTGCATTTCACAGGGAAGGCTCTGCTTTCTGATATTGGGTCTGCATAGATCAAGATAGGTATGCAAAGATTAAACTACTTCCTAGCTATCCTTGTTTCCTCCACATGATTCCTCCCCCCTTCTAGTTCTGTAAAACCAAAGTGGTCAACAAAAAGCTTACACAACGGTTATGATAAGCATAGACTGATCTATGCTTATTTATTGATAGTGTTTTCATTTAGCGAATAATCAGTGATGATTTAGTGCCATTGCAGCACAGCACTATCACAATCTTCATCTTTCATCCATTCTCACATTAGCTTTCCTAACCAGCCTCATAACTGATACTACTTTCAGTTGGATCATTCTGGCTTGGATACTTTAAGCAAACTTGCATTTCTGGGGAAGGCATTCCCAGTGTCCACATTGTTGATTTTAATTTGCAGAGAATCCTTGTGGAATTCTTTGCCTCTTCAACAAAGCCTCACATAGGACAGTTCCGAGCAAGTCTACTTCCAAAGAAGTTGCAACAATGCCAAGGGAGACAGGCTTTCAGGAAGCCCAATCCATTTGTTAAAACTAGGAGCCTTATTCCACCCCCAAGAAATTCATTTGGATTTTTTTTTTTAAAGGGTGAATGAACTTTAAAAGGTTTTGGCACAGCTCCATTCATTAACTCTCACACTGTTTCCTTGCAACTGAAGCGAACAACTGTTAGATTTCTGTTTATGCAAACACAGTTAAGCTTTGAGACCACCAGCTATTAACAGTACGGGGGGGTCATCTTATAAAGAAGCAGTGGTATCCCTGGGTATCAACAGTCAACCTCCTATCTCTCTTGACCTCCTGACCCTTCTGAGGGATCAATAGTTTTCAAGCTAACCATGCACCACACACATTAGTCTAGCCAAGGGAAAGGGAATTTAAAAATGGGTTTAGACTTAACAGAGTTTGGTACCTGTTGGCATCCATGTTTCTTTTGGCTTTGGAATGGTTCCATCCTGTTCGCTCTTCAAGCTGTTCAAGTTAAGATAGAAGCTGTAAGCTTCAAATCACCATGGAATCTGCATTTACTAATGCTGTCAGTCCACAAGGGATTTTTTTTTTTTAAGTGTTCCTACTAAATAGCCTTTTTAGTCTTTCACCATCACCATCATCACCCACAGGAAAGGGCAGATCTGTAGGCAGCCCTCCCTAGCCTCTGAGCTGTCATCTGATTTGCTATTTCCCCAACTGAACAAAATGTTCTGCTGTGGCTGGCTGTACTCTGCAGGGAAGACTGACAGCGTGATGGGGATGTTACCTCCCAAAGCTGTGAGATTTAAGCAGAAATGCAAAAGAACATGTTATTCTTCCAAGCCCTGATCCTTCCTTGAATGAAATGCTGAAAGGGGAGGGGGGGCAGAGAGAGGGAGACAGATCAAGAAGAGCTGCATTTGAATGTCTGCTGAGCTTGCTCTGTGGCAAAGATGCCATTAATATGGGACCGGAGCTAAGATGATTCCTGCAAGTTTCATCTTGCATTAGCTGCTCCACTTCTGAAGTAGGCAGCCTAGTGAATAAATAGAGGAGGAGAGAAACAACTTGTAGATAAGGGTTTTCTGCAGGGATGCTGCTCTGTTGCATAACTCCAATGCTGCTTTGGGAAATCCGGAGGAGACTGGACAGCTAGTTTTGGATTCTCCTGGGCAAGAAGCAAGGGATGGAAGCTCCTCAGAAGGAGATCCATCCTGGAAAAAAGGAGGAATTTCCTGACAGTGAGAACTATTAAGCCAGGGGGGGGCTCCATCGCTGGAGGTTTTCAAGAAAATATTGGAGACGCATTTGTTCGGAAACGGGATGAAGACTCCTGCATCTCCTGCCTTGGGCAGAGGCTGAACTAGAAGACTTACAAGGTCCCTGTGATTCTCTGCGATTTTCTGATTCTTCTTCCAGAGTAGTCAGGAAGATGTTGCTATTTCGAAAAGGGAAAGAATTCCTCTCTTTCCATCCATTGCACCTTTCTCCCTCCAACATGTATGGATCTGATGAATGGAGGGCTTCCTCCCCCTTTTTTTCTTCTTCATTCTTTTCCTATGTGTGTGTGTGTGTGTGAGGGGGGGGGGAAAGGAGGGTTAATTTCAGGACTGGCAACCAGGCAATATCTTTCAAGATTTGACTGTAATCCCCATCTTCAAGGTGGTGGAAAATGGGGATGGGGGGGGGGGAAGAGGGAGAGAGAGAAGCTAGTGCTCTCTAGACTAGCTTGAAACATCAAGGACCAAAGCCTCCACCTTCACTAAGCGCACCTCCCACCGCAAAACGGGCACCTTCAGGTGTTTCTCCCCCATCTTCTCCGAAACCCAAGGATGCCCAGGAACGTCAGAGCCAGGAAGGAGGCAAGGGGAAAAAAAAATAAATTCGTAGCTGAGCGGTCAGAGTTAGATACACTTTCGCCTTCCCACCCGACGGAGCCCCCCCTTTACCCCCCACCCCGTCTTCCTCTTTCCCGGGTGTTAGTTCTGACGTGAGAACCTTCCTTTGATGGTGATGGTCATGATGATGATGATGGTGATGATGATGATGATGATGATGATAACACTCACAATAACCCTTCTCAAAAGCAGGACTTACGGGGTTGCTTCGCTTCCCGGCTCGAAGGCGAGGAAAACCTCCAGCTAAGTCCCACTCCGGGGCGGAGGGAGGGGAAAGAAAGACGGCAGCTCAACCCAGGATCACCCGGTTCGCTTCCCGAGCTTGGGACGGCGGCGGAGAGGTGGGGGGGGGGGGAGGAAGGAAGCCTCGTCGACCCGGCGTCGCCTTCCCCGCTCCTTTGGTCCAAGGGAGGCGAACAGGGGCCAGTCCGGGCGAGCTTGCCCGAGCGCTGCCAGCCCACCTGCCTCTTGGCGTCGGCGGTGGCTTCGCGGACGCCCAAGTGTTGCTCTTCTCCCCTGGACGCCTCCGACGCCTCCTCCTCCTTCTCCTTTCGGGGGCTCGGGCGCTCCCGCCTCACTTTCGGAGGCTCCCTGGCCGGGGGCTGCCTCGGGCTCTCTCGAAGGGCGGCGGAGTTGCGGCTTTAAGCCCCCCCTTCCCGGCTTTTCTTTTCCTCAGGGCAGCGGCTGCTTCGTCTGTCGGCGCGAGGCTTTCCGGCGGCGGCGGCGGGTGCAGCGGCAGGAGCAGCAGCAGCAGCAAGCGCGGCTGCGAAAGCCCATCTCCGGCGACGCGAGCTGGCGGGAGGGAGGGAGGGAGCGAGCGAGGGAGATTCCGAAATAAATCCGCTCATTCAGACGCCGGCGGGCTCCGCGCGCGCGCCCGCGCGCCCGCGCCCCCGCGACGCGCGCGCCCGACGCTCCTGCCTGCCTGCCTGCCTGCCGAAGGCGAAGCGCGAGGCGGGAAAGTGAGTGAATGGGTGAGTGAGAGAGAGAGAGAGAGAGAGAGAGAGAGAGAGAGACGCCTCTTCCTCCTCCTCCTCCTCCTCCTCTTCCTCCTCTCCTCCACCTCCTCTTCCTCCTCTTCTTCCTCCTCTTCTTCCTCCTCTCTTCCTCCTCCTCCTCTTCCTCCTCTCCTCCTCCTCCCCTGACACTTCTCCTCTCTTCCTCCTCTTCCTCCTCTTCCTCCTCCTCCTCTTCCTCCTCTCCTCCTCCTCCCCTGACACTTCTCATTCGGCCGACCTGGGAGGCCGGTCTATAAGGCTGCGGGAGAGAAAGTGGGGAGGGGGAACGGACGAGGGAGGAGGCGGGGTGGGGGCTTTCCCGCACCCCGCACCCCGCACCCCCGTTTTCCCTCGCCCGCTTCTCCGCTCGGTGTAGCCGGCGCTCAACTTTCTAGTCCTCTTGGTGGCGGATGGCGGGTAGGTTGGCTTGCGCTTCAAGACACCTTCTTCCCCGCCAGAAAGCCGCGCGCAACCTGGCTTGGCAGAGGTTTTTTTTCCCCCTTCGGTGGCGAATTGCGCCTGCTGGAATGCCTGGTGGGAATCCCCTTTCCTCGGGAAGGCCGTGGGGAGGGGTGGGGGAGGGGGTGGACGGACCGGAAAAGAGAGAGAGGGGGAAGGAGTTGAGGCCAAGAGGACGGCGATGGACAGGGAGGAGAGCTTTCTTCTCTGGGTTGTGTGGACACCTGGTTAGGGCTTGCTGGTTTTTTCCCCCCTTTTTCTCATCTGGGATCTGAATTTTGGAGTCGGAGAAGACTCTTGAGGTGCACAGCCAAGGAAACAAACCGGGGGTTCCCAAAGGTGGTTTTTCAAAAGGCAAGTGGACTTTATTTTCCCTGGAAGACTTTTGGTTGATGGAATTGAGGATGTCTAGTTTAACGAAGAGAAGGACGAGGGGGGACATGATAGCAGTGTTCCAGTATCTCAGGGGCTGCCACAAAGAAGAGGGAGTCAAGCTCTTCTCCAAAGCGCCTGAGGGCAGGACAAGAAGCAAAGGATGGAAACTAATCAAGGAGAGAAGCAACCTAGAACCAAGGAGAAATTTCCTGACAGTTAGAACAATTAACCAGTGGAACAACCTGCCTCCAGAAGCGGTGAATGCTCCAACAGTGGAAGTCTTTAAGAAGAGACTGGACAGCCATTTGTCCGAAATGGTGTAGGATTTCCTGCCTGAGCAGGGGGTTGGACTCAATGATCTCCAAGGTCCCTTCCAACTTTATTACTATTACTATTCTCATTCAAGAAGCTTCTTGGATGAGAAACAACACCTCTTCAAGGGGAAAAAAACAGCTGCCTTTTGAACAGCTGTCCTTTGGGACAACCATGACCTGGATGAGTGAGAATCTCCATAGACCAACAGATGGGTCATTGAACAAATCAATCCAATGTTCTCACTTGAGGCACAAATGACCAGCTCAGACTGTCCTACCTTGGAGATTCGGATCTCTGGAGGAGGCTCTAATGCTGGGTGAGAAGGAAGGAAAGAAGACAACCAGTAGCAAGATGGATGGACTCTGGCTTCAGTGGTGATGGAGATTAGAGGCAGATCGTCATGGATACACTTTGTCAAAGAGTCAACAAGAACTGGATGGCTTGTCATCACCATCCTGTTGACTTCATCTACAGCAGTGGTTCTCAACCTGTGGGTCGGGACCCCATTTGGGGTCGAACGACCATTTCACGGGGGTCGCCAAACAACGCAGTCTGCCATTCTTTTCCCCCTTTTCCTTAGCTGTGCTACTCCCTTTTATTCTATTGGCTTTTGAAAGCCAATAGAATAGACTCTCTTGAATAGAGTCTAATTCTATTGGCTTTCAAAAGCAAGTAGAATAAAATAAATCTCTGCCCTGCTGAGCCCGCCAAAAGTCCCATTCTTCAAACGGTGCTGCACCAGTTGAGTAGTCCTCGACTTACGACCGGTTGGGGGTTGCGGCATTAAAAAGGTCGAGAACCACTGATCTACAGGAAAAAGATTTTCAGAATGGGTGGGCAACATTCAGGCCTTGATCAAAATTCAGTTTTCGGCTCCCAGCAGGGCCATAGGATGAATCTAGTTTCTCCTGAAACTGGTACTGGAATCGCTCCTCTGATAAGCTGAAAGTTCTCTTCAGTAAAGTTTGTTTATTTTTAAGTGATTCTTCTTGTTTTCATATCTGGCCATTTACTTTCAGTGAGTGCCAGTTTTTTCAGGAGGGTTGTTCGGATAGAGATTTTCTCATAAAGGAGAATATTTGTAGCTGAGGGTTAACTTGAAGTGTCCTTGGTGCTCTCTGGGCTTGGTTGTTTTCTTGCAGATGTTTCATTACCCAAACTGGGTAACATCATCAGTGCTCTGATGAGGTTTTCCCTTCTGCCTGTAAAGGCAACTGTCAGCCAGCTTATATTGAGCATACATTTCCCTCAATGCCTCCCCTTCTTCCTCCCCCCCTTCTTCATAACCATTTGCAAAAAAGAGATAGAGGAAAAAAAAGTGCACAAAAGTTCAAATAACCATACACCCATATATGTATTATTCTTACTCATATATTCATATGTTATTTTTGGATCAATGAATTTCATGAGTCCATCCAAGTACTAAGAAGGCTGATCCCACTTCCAATAACCAAGTTCTGTCACCTGCTGAGACACGAAGTAATACAATTCAGCTTCCAGTAAAGAAAAGAATATGAGTTCCTTGATAAATCTCCTTGCTTTCTGAAATTATTATTTTTTTTAAAAAAAAAAAGCGCGTTGTATAATATCCATTGTCCTCTTTTAGTTTATTGTTACTCTCTTTTGAATATCTTCTAAGGTATAAAGAGAGAGATTAATTTCAGTCTAGCATCTTTTTTTGTTATTATTTTAAATGCCTCAGATACCACAAAGCTGCCAAACACAATAGAACAAACAAAAGCATGAAATTCAGGGATTCCTTGGAACCTTTTTGTGATTATGTCATGTGTTTTTCTATTGTGGATTAGTTTCCCCCCCCCCATTATTACAAAAGGAATGGATATTCCCTGGAATATTCAATATAGTAGTACTCATGGGCCAAGCTAAGATATATGATGTGATTTTTGCCTCATTTTGGCTTAGCATATTTATAAACTCAGACATTATAACTTGTAAATTATAATTATAATAATTCTGGACTCAAACTCAATTCAAAGAAATGTTTGCCTTGACTTTAAGGCTGTCAACAGCCATTTGAAGAGTAGCCATTGATGGAGCTGATATTCACGAATTTATCTAGTTTCTTCTTTAAAACTTTCTAAATTGTGGTTATCACAATATCTTGTGGCAACAAATTTCACAGAAAGTTTGTTCTGTTTAAATAAGTCCATTGATGTATTCAATTTACACACATTCACAGATATTTTTTTCTCTACAGCAGGGCTCCCAAACCTCTGGGTCACGGCCCACTAGTGGGCCCTGAGGTGTTTGCAATCATGCCTTGGAAATGGCCGGTGAGCACAAACATCTTCACTTGTGCGAGCAACATGCACACTCCATTTCTGTGAGTAGTGTGTGTGTATGCCACTCACACAAATGGAGATGTCTGTGCACACGCGCTTGAAAGCCACTCCCACGGAGCCATCCCCCACACACCGGTCCGCAGAGTTGGAAAAGTTTGGGATCTCTGCTCTATGGTACTAAGTAAAATGATATATATCCATTGCTCAGTTAGCAGAAGGTTATACCAGCAGAAAATTGATGGTTCCCATTGCCAATATCTGTTTCCTACTGTGCCGGTTTTCAGACACTTCCAATCATCTGACTTCCTCCGTAGGTAATAGGATAGTGTGGAAAATGGGAGAAAAAAATTGGAGACTTGCCTCATCAGCATCCATCTTGTCATGATCCAAGAACCAGATGATTACTCTGAATATGAAGAAGCTGATCCAGCAGGACTTGTGAAATGTCAGCCTCAGGACACAAAGCCAAGAATGACACGAGGCTGATCAGTCATAGGTGCCACCTGAATAGTTGGTGGATTCAGATGAAAATAATGTAAGTTCTCCCTTCCATTGGAGGGTAAAGAGGAAAACAGCAAAGACGTTCTATGAGGCACCTTGCCATACAAGTTTGCAAATCTTGATTAGTGACAGCTGGCTACAGCCTGATTTAAGAGGCAGCCGTGACCCATGTTCTTTTGCTGGAACAATTATCTGATCTCTGGCTATTGTGTGATGCTCATGTGTTCTATCCTTGGACTGGCTGACAAATCCAACTTGGCCATCTGACCTTCTTACTGGGTTTGACTTCTCTTTGGGGGTGTTTCTATTGGAAGTGAAACAAGCTTCTGTCAGACTCCGTTTTGTTTACATTACTTCTCTACTGTTATCTCTTCAACTTTGTGCAAATGGCTAAGCTCCATATCAATCATATTTGAGTGTGTAATTGAAACTTGATTGAAGGTAACTTCAAAATCTTTCTTCTGCAAGGATCAAGTGGGCTGTCCAAAAGATTCTCTGGAAGGGAGATGAGTTTAGCTGAATTTTGGTTTCACTGCTAATCAGAGGCTCTCCAAAATTTGTGACTGATATCTTTTCCAGCAACAGAAGAAGATGAAACTCAAATTTGCAATATTGCACATGCAGATCACTGAGGAAGGAAGGAAGGAAGGAAGGAAGGAAGGAACGAAGGAAGGAAGGAAGGAAGGAAAGGAAGGAAGGAAGGAAATCTGATTAAAAAGCAATCACTTCCAACTCAGTTGGAAGAAGTTGAGCTTAACATTGTTAAGTGTTTTGCCATACACCAAAGTGCCGTTTGATATTTATTTT